CCATGGTCACTGTGAATGATGGGATTAGGGGGAACCAGATGAATAGTTCTATAGTTTATTTCAAGTTTTATAGTTTATGATTGTACTACCAGATGAACTGTGAGTTTTTTTTATGCCCGTACTTTGATGGAAATGCTGTTTCCAATGGGATAATTCTCAGCATTAGGCCAGAAACCTTGGGTCCTACCCGGAATACTCCAAGTGCTGTCATTCCCCTGAGTTCTTTGGGATCCTCAATGAACATATCCAGCATAAAACCAGGGTTTCTACGAGGGTGTACTCTATATTTAGTAGCAAAGCAAGGCTTTTTTTTGCTCGATTGTATTCCTTCTTGGGATGTTTCAAGAGCTGCAGGTTGCCCACTTCTGGGTGGTTTTCCCATTGAACCATAATTTGTGGGGCACTTTCAATTGCCATGTTTGATAGCAGAGGGTAGAGGTCTCGAGGGGGAGACTTCGGGAGACTTCGCAAGTCACAACCACCACAAATCTGACCCATCGAAAGCAGTGCTGCTGCAAAGGATCAGGGTTTCCGGCTGGATACATCCCAGTCCACCATATTTTGCAAATCAGTCAGCAGAATATCTGAAAACACCCCAGAAACCATCAGAAACCTACCAGGAATTGCTGTTTTTTGGGCCGTTTTGGCTCTTGAAACCCTGAAAGTCAAACTACATGACCGCCACTTTACGTGGACCGGAATCATCCTCTGCGCTCGAAGAAACCCTCGACTGCTTGGGAAACCAAGGGGCGGGATATGCCCATTTTACAGTGATTCTCATGGGGAAAATAATGAGGTGATTATATATATATATATATTTATATATATATATATATTCATGTACGATTATATATATATATATATTCATGTACATACATATATATATATATAATCATACATATATGTATATATATATATATTGATATTGATATTGTTTATTTGATCCATATGGGATTTAGATGATTTTACCCTTGACCCTTAAATTAGCACAGACACTACCATTGATTCGAGGTTTGGAAGATGAGTGGTTTCATTCTGGGTCCAACTGTTACTGTTGGTAATCAAACCTGGCAATAGAAAATTGCCAATTTCTAGATGATTTTCTCATTAAAATTGGATGAGGATTATCCACTGTAGAGGATTGATCATTATCATCACTGATTTTCTAGATTATTTTCTCATAAAAATCATGAACACCTCCATTTGCAAAGGATTTTCCACTGCCGATGAGCGGAGGTGCTCATTTCCTTTCAGTTCCAGAGAAACTCATGACATTGGATTGCGGCTTTGCATTGATTGGTGGATAGTTTCGTTCAGAATGTGGTAAACCACCAATAAAAAAAAAACACAAAATAACAACACCAGTGTACCAGTACCAATCAATTCAAAGCCGCAATGGATAGTTACTGGATAAGAATAATATCTGGTTGGTGGTTTCAAACATTTTTTATTTTCCATGATATATGGGATAATCCTTCCCTTTGACTAATATCTTTCAGAGGGGTTGAAACCACCAACCAGCATAGTTATATATTCCCCATACACTATAGATTCTAAAAATCCCATATATATATACATATTCTCATAGATAATAAATATTCCCCAGCATTATATATTACCATAGATATATAAATCCAATGTAAACCATGGTGAAGCCAACGATGAACCATACCAGTCACCAACCATGTTTTTTGGGGTCAAATGATCCCGTCTCATCCCCAATTTGGGGTCAAGAAAAGTATACCATGCGATAGCCATAAACCAAGACATTTGGGATGCTTTGTTGCTGGGTTTACCATGGGTTTACCATGGGTTTACCATGGGTTTACCACATTTTTCTTTTTTAATACTTTGATAAGCAAGCGAAGAAACTGCTTGAACATGCTTGGTGTTGCGCCCAACAGCTGAATCCGTTACCATTGAGATGAGGATATCAGGATATCACTGATGCCTTTTCTAGAACAAGGCATCATCATGCATCGTCTAAGACTGTCTACATCTAATCATACTTGGTCTTCAATAAAGTTTAACATCTGGTTATTTAACATAGCCATGGAAAATCACCATTTTTAATAGGTAAACCATCTATAAATGGGCCATTTTCCATGGCTATGTTAGTTTACCAGAGGGTATCTGAATCCATGACCTCCATCTTTTCCATTGATTCCTGTTCGAAGTGCTCCATCTTTGAGTCAGTACAGGATGACCCGTGGCCGGGAATCATCGAGTCCCGTGCCGAGGGCGATCATGCGGGGACGACGCCAAGAAAAGTAACCCTTTCACCAACAAGAATGAACATATGGATGTGGGTCAAAATGGAAGACCTAGGGGACCACAGATGTGAATGTCTAGTTTAGTATTAACCATCCAAGGGTACCTAATTTTGACCCATCCCCATATGACAGTCACAAAGGTATACACAAGTCATGTTCATAAAAGCAAAGAGGCGATTGTTGCAGCAAAACATGGTTTTTCTCAAGAAACACTTGGATTTACCCACTAATTACCCAAGAACAAAGGATGAGTTGCCCAATAGAAATTGGGATGTAGGCAATAGCATGGGGGATTTGAACAATCACAATGGGGATAGCCACCATGACAACCAGGATTTTTTTCCACATATATATATACACGTATATATATATGTATATATACATAGATGTAGTGACCATATATGTATCTTATAGATAACATTTCTGCACCTGCAATATGAATGATTAGTCTGGTTGGTTTACTTTTGAGGGTACAGATCACACCCAAACTTCACTTTGCAATGGGCTATCCAAGCTTGGTTCTGAATCAAAATTGGGGAAGCCTGCGTGTCCAGGTATCACCACCCAAGGGACGGAGCGTAGATGGGGGAACGACTGGGGGCATGTTGCACATTTGGAACGCGTAACGAAAAAATGGTTCAATTTTTCCATTCATCACGTTTCTTCACGTCCCCAACAGAAAGGTGACTAGCTGATATTGAAATGTGAAGAGACAACCCAGCCAATACAAACAAGATCAAATGGATGGAACATTCATTGGATGGGGACAACCATTGATTCAGCCAATACAAACAAGCCAATGTGATCCAACAACCATTCACGGCGTCAGTTGGATGTCCACCACTTCGGCCGCTGAAGTCCAGGTAGAACAGGGAGATCCTCAGCATTCACCATGGAATCCTCATTCTCGTTGACTCTGTTTCACAAAGCATCTTTGTTCGTGACATCAGAATTCTTGGATGTTCAGTTTGTAAGATTTTTTTCCGTCATGTTCGTTGGTAAAACACCATGTTTGTCGTTTTAAAGGATCTTAAATCATCATACACCCTCTAAATTTAACCTGGAAGTCAAGAATCCTTATATCCATATGCGCCCTTCATCATTTTCTGAACCCCCCTTTTGAGGGTTCCATGAATCATCCGTCGCGTCTCCCATTGATCGCCCTGAAGAATTCTTTACATCCGATGAAGTCGGAACCAAAGACATCCAGCTTTGCGAATTGGCGAGCAAAGAACTGAAGTACGTGACATGTGGGTGCAAAAATGATTCGGAGCTGCTTGGGGGACCAACTGTGTATATACGTAACAGTGAACTACGTTGGATACTCATATTTGACAATGGATAAACACACTGACCCAAAGAAATGCATACATATATATATAAATATATATATATATATGCATGCATGCATGCATGCAGGCATACCTACGTGCTTCCTTACTTACTTACTCACTCACGCACTCACTTACTTGTTTACTTACTTACTCACTCACTTACTCACTTACCCACTTACTCACTTACTCACTTACTGACTTACTTACTTACTTACTTACTTGCTTACTCAATTAAGTACCTAATTACGTCCTTACTTTACTCACTTGCTTACTTAAAACTCTGTGATTATGTACAGTATATAGCATTCATAGACATGGATATACATGGGTAATTCCGTATTTCTATTGTTTTAACGTTTTAACGGTATCAATGTCTGAAACTCTCAGAGATGTCGTGATGTCGCAGCTGGGTAAAGTTTGTTGAATGGCAGGGTGCAACGAATGGTTTTTGCAGGTTCGCATGTGGAAGTGGGCTTTTAATGGTTGTTAATGTGGTTAAAACAAGTTCATAAACCATCCCCCAGTCAGCAGAAATAGGTTGTATAAACCATTCCCAGTCATGGGTGGTTTTAATTTTTGTTCTACCCCCATTACTGCAATAGTCTTTGATGGTTCTTGATGGGATGACAAGGGGGAATTCACCTGTGGTCCAAAGGCCCACAGGTTTTTGAGTGGCTTATAAGTTCACCCCGAGTTTGAAT